TCCTCATGGACCCCCAACAGGTCATGTTTTCAGGATTTCCCTCAGATGAAACAGCTGTGGTAATTACTAAGGCGGTGAAACTGATCAAATCACCTGTGCAAAATAATGGAAATGCTGAAAACATGACCTGTTGGGGGTCTATGAGGACTGGAGTTGAGAAACACTGGATTAGATGAAGTGAAAGAGGTATTTATGCAGCCTTTACACAAGGGGAGACCAAACAAGGGTGATGATGATCACTCCTTGTCCAAAGCAAATGTAATACAGGAGACTTAAAACCAGCAACAGGGATCAGTGGTGGCACCTTCCAAGCTTTGCAGGGCTGTACGAATCACAAGAAATAAAAGAAGAAGAAAATAAGGTAAGATAATTTTTTTCGGGTATAACATTTCCTAAATTTTATGTCACCTAGCTGTCTGGTTTAGGCTGCAGCAGCTGACTGCCCCTGTTGCTGAATTCTTAATGCAAGTCTAAACATAAAAAAAGAAGGCAAAGTGTTCTCTGGTTCCATCACCACCCACTGCAGCTCTCCGAGAGTAATGTTGCATCACATGAGGCTGCAGCATCAACCATAAATACTGTGAAAAGCCCACTAAAGATGCATTCAATAAATTATGTAAAAACTCAGAATAGAGATAAGATAAACTTATTTTGTGAGCTTAACTCAATTTCAATGATTCATTAATGTGATTAGCAGTTCATTGAATGAGATTACATCTGGTGTCTTTCTTATAGCCTTATGTCCAGAGGCCCCCTCTTTCCTGAATACTCCCCCATCCCTGATAAAACATAGAAAGTGAATACATACCTTAAATACAGCAGTCTTCTGGCTGTATGTTCTGGGTCCTCTATCCTCTGGAGCTCACGCCAGAGCAATGACTTACCACCATGGGGTGTGTCAATGACAGCCTGGGCTCACAGGAAGTGGCATTACTGATGCTGGCAATCATTCAGGCCCACAGAGAAGTGCAGTGCTGCATTTAAGGTGAATATTTCCGTAAAATGCAACATTTTTTTTAAATGTTAACTTTTATTAGGCTATTACATTTTTTCCACTGGAGTTATGTGTAAAGCTACCGCGCCAGGAGCCGCTTGGTAATTTAGGTTCTCTTCTCTGCGACTCGAATACAAAAACACCTTCAGACACTCTAACGCACCTGGTTGAATGAGAGTTACTGGAAGAACATGCGTATAGTTACCTTTAACTTGGTTAAACAATAATATAGTGCATATAGGCATTAACTGCAATGTGAATAATAATACTATAACTAGTCTATAACGCACTCTGGGAGAATGGCTAGGATTTGGGGCAACGTGCTCTTGAGAGGTACCTCTTGGCATTAGCAAAAGATTAAAGTATCTGTCAGGGCTCCAGGTATGACCAGAGGTGTGTGGACTGACACAGGGAAACGCAGGCTTCAGATATGGTATAAACAGTATAATTTATTAAGACTAACAATACAAAACGCAGTGCAAACAAACCAAACCAAACCACCCACCGATAACAATACATACAATACAAAGAGTAGTCAGGCAGGCCGTGTCAGTGGCAAACGGGCAAACGGAGTACTAGGAACAGGTGGGAGAATGGTAGGGGTCACAAGCTGGGTTCAGTAACTCACGGGCAGTGCGGTACAGAGGGTCGGGCAGAGAATGGTCAGGGTCACAAGCCAGGGATCAAGCAGGAGAAGTCAGCAGAGGTCAGGGTCAGGCAGGGTCGGCAACAAGTCAGACAGGAACAGGAATACAGGATACAAGGTACAGGGGCCCATGGAAAAACACACACCAAGGCCCTGACTGTGAGTCTGGCCATTCCTTAAATACAACCCCTGCAATCAGCTTCAGGTGTTTGGGTGACTGCAGGGGTGAGTCTCTGATTGCTGAGAGCACCCGCTGGCCAGCCCTGGTACTGCAGCCCACAAGGCAGGTGAGTCCCACTATTATTGGCAAGTCCATTCCTGACAGTATCTGTGTAGTAGCTGTAAAGGGACAGTCTTTAGTCCTAACTCTTCAGCCGCCTTGCGTTGGGGTCCAGTTGGTGCACATGGAAATAGTCCCAGTTAAGCCTGCAGGCAGCTATAAAGCTACTAAATGGCTGTATGGTCAGTTCCTAAAGGCCTTAGTCTCTTTAGCAACAGATAATAAATCCTCACAGCAGCAGCACACACCAGTCTCTGTGATACCGTAGCTCACCATCCGGTCACACACATCAATTAGTCGACTCTCTGCTCTTTACCCAGGTGACTCTGGCTGTTGGATCCTGCTCAGGGCACTGTCATGCAGCAGTGATGGTGCTCACTGGACAGCAATGTGCACTCTCCAGGCTCCCACATAGCAAGAGAAAGCTGTGTCTTGTTCAGCTTCATAAAATGCAGCTTTTTCCCCTCCTCCTGGTAATCTTCCTCTAGGAAATACTGTTCAAAAGCTCTTGATTACAGTAGTCTCTCTCCTCTGGACTACAGCTCCCACGGTGTGGTGCTGCCTGGTTCAGTCTATTGAACTCTTCCTGCTCAGCCAGTCTCTTGCTGATATAGCGGTTTCTCTTAGTCTCCATTCTTAGCACGCACCTGTTTACATATGCTTTAAAGAAGAACTTTAGGTATGAATGCACTTTTAAAAATGTGTTGGCATATAAGAGGTTCAGTCTAAGGAAGTGTAAGCTGCCACCTGGACTTCTCTCTTTTGATTAAAATTTGCACTTTAACAGCAGCCACTCTGTATAATTTACATAGGCCTTGGTGTGTGAACCTGTTTTTCTGTTATGGAGTATCAGTCTAGGAAAAAAGCAACAGCAATTAAGAGTGTGAATCTATTTAATGACCTTAGTACACTACAGCGCATGTTAGTGCCAGAGATGTATTAAGACAGAATGGGGTGCTGGGCAAGACAGAAGCTTTAGTCACCCCCAATCAATCTGACTGACATTGATGAGGAGTGCAATAGGCATAGAAAAGCTACTCTGTCGCTTTGGTCTGTACTGGCATATGCCACCCCATCAGACACTGCCTGCAAGTACATCCTTCATTGTGAAACAAAAGAACGGGGTGCTGGGCAAGACAGAAGCTTTAGTCACCCCCAATCAATCTGACTGACATTGATGAGGACTGCAATAGGCATAGAAAGGCTACTCTGTCAGTTTGGTCTGTACTGGCATATGCCACCCCATCAGACACTGCCTGCAAGTACATCCTTCATTGTGAAACAAAAGAACGGGGTGCTGGGCAAGGTAGAAGCTTCGATCTCTCCCAATCAATATGATTGACATTGATAAGGAATGCAACAGGCATAGAAAAAGAAAATCTGCCCATCAATTTGTCTGTACTGGAATAGACCACCCCATCAAAAACTGCCTCCATTAGGAAGCGGCGGGCACAGCGTGGATATACGGCGGATGCCACGAATAGATAGAATGTATTTTTTTGAGAACCTCAAGGCTTTACTTACCTACTGGTCTGCAAATTTAATGCAAAAATGGTATTGCCTGTTACAAACACTTCACACCAAAGTGAACAGGGACACAGATGCAGATTACAATATTCAAAACGTAAAAAAAAATAAATAAATCGCAATTTAGGAAACTCTTCTGCGCATACAATAAAATAAAAACAAAGGAGCCCAGAGAGCACTTGTCATAGACATCATTATGTATTTATAAAAAATGTAGTGCTTGTCCGTTTTTTCCCTGACTCTGCTATTGGTCCTCGGTGACAAGTCCCTCTAATAATTCTATTATAGGGTGATGTCATAGGTCACCGAGCCAACAGGCGAGGTCTCATGGTGTAAGCGCGGCCAAGTTCAACTGGGATGAAGGCGGCAGGGGGAGACACAGCGCCTGCACAGGGATCCCGTTTACAAGCATCACCAGGGGGAAGAAAATGTTACAATAAATTTTGTAACAATGCATTAGGTGGGTGTTGGATGTGGTTCAGAAAGTTATAAACCACAATATGTTCATGCTACAACCTTCCATGTAATTTGAATAGACAGTATGGCCAATAAAGCTTCAGAGTTTTGGCAGTAGCCTGCTTGTCCTTTGTATGAAACACAACTTGCGTTCAGAATTGATATACCAACACGGATAGTGTGAACTCGGCGCATACATTTATGCGTTTGCAGGTGCTGTACCCTACCCCCCCCCCCCCCCCCCCCAGCATAACCATGTAAAGCCGCATCTTCTGATGTCTAAGGGTGGCTGCATGTAGTAGCTGGAGGGCTAAGTCAGCCTCTGACATCCTATATAACTTAGACCAGAGGTGTCAAACTCAATTGCAGGCCACATCAATATTATAGTTGCCCTTAAAGGGTCAGTTGTATCTGTAAAACCAGATTTTCAGAGCACCCCACTCACTCTTTCATCTGTAATGTTGAGAGCCCCCCCCCCACCATCAGAAGTCAAGAGTCCCGCACCCTCCCTTACATCACAATGCATCCCCTTTACCTTGTGCTGCTGCTGGGGAGAAGCTGGGGGCGGAGCTGAGAAACAGAAAGTGCAGGGTCTGGAGGAGGACCAGAGGAGGACTGGAGTCAGCTTCCAGAGTCTGCTGAATGCTGAAACCAGGGGAGGTAGAGACGGTGGGGGGGTTGCTGGATCTGCAGGAGGAGTTCTGTCCTCTTTTCTGCTGCTGACTGCTGAGACAAGGTAGGAGTGGAGACGAGGTCTGGGGCCACAGCTTCAGAAGAGGTGCGAGTTCTGCATGAAATGACCTAGCGGTCCAGAATGGGCCTGCTGGCATTGTGTGGCTTAGGCCCCATGTACACGGGACACTTATGAACGATGGAAACTGACTGCTGGAAAACGTAGGTTAAAAAACATCTGTTTAGCTGCATTTGCATACCACATTTATGTGCGTTTTTTAAAGATAACCTCAGGAGACCTTCCAAAATGCCCAGAATGCACTGAAAACCTGTAAGAAATTAACTATTTCAGACATTTTGAGAGAGAGAGCAGAAGCAGAGGGAGCAGTATGTGTTGAGATTAGCTGTCTTTTTTTTTTGTGGTGTTTGGATGTGTTCCAGCCTGGGGCGGACTAACCATTTGGAAACTCGGGCACTGCCTGAGGGCCCAGGGTCAGTAGGGGGCCCCATGAGATGCCCCTGGTTCCTTTTTCATAGGCTTTTTTGAGTTTGGGCAAGGACACAGGGGCCCCATGATCCCCTATTGCCCGGGTGCCCCATGAGTTGTCAGTCCGCCCCTGGTTCCAGCTCATTTCTGTGCAGAAATTATTGCAGCCGTGTCTCACATATTTTCTTTCATGCGAAACCTCAAAGTATGATGTACCGGGTCCATTTGAGTTCCCGGGAAAATGCTTTGCATGCATTTTTCACGATGAAAAAAGGCTCTGGGCAGCATCTGAAAATGGAAGAGTTAAAAAAAATGTCCAAAAGCAAACGTGTTTGAAACGCTGATAAAATCTACACTTACACACAAGGTTGGTGCGTTCAGAAAAACGACTGTAAACTCAACTGCCTGTAAATGACTGTAAAGGACGATGTGTACATGGAGACATACGAGAACATTAGGGAGAGTTCAGGGGCTGCTGAAAAAAAACACAGAAAAGCTCCTGAATGTCAGTTTATCAGCTGCAGTGTACATGGAGCCTTAGGCTGGCCATACATTATACAATTTTCCTGAGATTTTTGCTTTAGATTTACCAAAATCCATATAATATGAGGTCAAACCTAAACAACACTTTCAATTGCATCCGATCAGGCGGGCCCTTGTACTACATAGTTGAAGGTAAATCTAAAGGAAATTGAGCAGAAATTGGATAGAAAATTGTATAATGTATGTCCAGCGTTAGACACAGTCCACCATCAAGATCTCTCTGCCTATTTTCCTGTCCACGTGGGATATCTAGTTGTTTTGTTTGCTTCTAGCTCTTCCTGTTGTATTCTCCAAAAACTAAAACAACAAGGATGGTAGAGGTCCCCATATCAGGTGCAGCAAATTTATAAATCCAAGGACCCCAGCGCACATTTCTCACAAATAGAGCTGATTGGAATTAGAAGGAATTGTGAGAAAGTAATAATGTCAGCTACCAAATGCAGAAATATCAGGATTGGGTGGACTGGCCCTTTAAAACATTTAACCCAATGAGTGCTTTTGGTGGAAAAAAAAAAACAAACAAACAAGGGCGCACTCTCATCGTGCATTATCATGGTAATCTACGTATTTATTAATAAAAAAGGATTATATACTCACAAACCAACGTGATAAAAAGCAGTGCAGGTGGTCCACAAAAACAGTCACAATATGGCTGTGTCTAATGATGCGGATATGCTAACACGTTTCGGGAGCTGTACCCCCTTCCTCAGAGCTAGGGCTGCCTAGCTCTGAGGAAGGGGGTACAGCTAGCTCTGAGGAAGGGGGTACAGCTCCCGAAACGTGTTAGCATATCCGCATCATTAGACACAGCCATATTGTGACTGTTTTTGTGGACCACCTGCACTGCTTTTTATCACGTTGGTTTGTGAATATATAATCCTTTTTTATCAATAAATACGTGGATTACCACGGAAATGCACGATGAGAGTGCGCCCCTGGTTTGTTTGTTTTTTTTCCACCAGTGGCCAGATTACCCGATCTCAGAAGGGCAGCACCTCTTCGGTTGGCATTTTGACATGTCCTTGGTTTGCATGAAGATGTGAGCGCTGGTTCTGTTTTGTTCACCAATGAGTGCTTTGTACTCTTAAGTGGCTTAAAGGATGCCAGGTGTTTTCAAAACAATACTCTTCAAATGACAGCTCCTCCTTAGCAAAGGATGCAAATTCTATTTAACGCAGTGAGGGATTTCCTCTGACAGTCAGAATGCATATTGCATATGTCTAATATGAGGCGGCTGAAAGCATTTTATGTAAATTACGTTTAGAAGAGTAAGCAGGAAATTGTTTTTTAAGCTCCCTTCTGAGCATAGTACATGTGGGGTTTCTATGTTAGAAAATAGCACGACATACTGGCCAATGCTAACAGGTCCTCTTTACAGGATAAGTCCACAAAGTACAGATTTTTCATTTTATAGGGTGCCGGTGAATTATCCCATATTGGGTCTTTCAAGGCCTTTTTTTTCTGGAAACAACATTGGACGGCTCACAACAGCAAAGTTACTGTAAACGGTAGAATATTTTTGGCACGTCCGTCAGTGTTTGTGGGGAAGCCTTGTATTCAGAAAAATGCAAAGTGTCCTGTAAATGGCTGAGCAGTTTGTGATTTTGTTTCGGGAATGGGACGGGAAGTTCCCATCCCCCTGCCACAACACAGTGCTGTACAATGCATGTAGCTGATGCTACACAGCGTTTATACTGCACTCAAAGGGGGACGCATTTTGGAGTTGGCCTTAAAGTGGTTCTAAAGTTTTTTGCCTATATGAATTCTATGCATTAGGGTGAAAAACCTTCTATGTCACAGACTCACCCCTTCACCTCCCTTATACTTACCTGAACCCCATCGAGATCCAGTGCTGTGCAATAGATGCAGCAGAGGGACTAGGGAGTGAGCCCGCACGGGTGCCCCCTGGAAATCAGCTCCCTATTGGGGGCACCAGCAAGAGAGGAGGAGCCAGAACCTGAGAAGAGGAGGATCGGAGCTGCTCTGTGCAATTTTATTGCACAGAGCAGGTACATATGCACGTTTGTTATTTAAAATTTACGACCACTTTAAATATTCCATTAAAAAGTGTTTATCTGCACTATTACCGAGTGTTACTGCACTATTATCTCAAGCATTGGAAGTTTACCTTCGCTGAACTACAGAACACAGGGAGCTTTGTATTTGCCAAATGAATACAAGGCTTCTTCTGATTGGCTGAGGTGGGGAGATGACATCATGACCTCCATTTCAGCCATTCAGAGGAAGCCTTCTACTCATTTAGAAAATGCAAAACTTCATGTAAATGATTAAGCAGAGCTCAGCCCATCTCAGTTTGGTTGTTGAAACAGGACAGGAAGTTACCGTCCCACTGCAGGAACTCTGATACATACATTTTATACACCACTCACTCACATCTCTTATCGAGGGTAACAGTTCGTTTGGACCGGCTTGCTTCAAGAACTATCTTTAAGTGACAGAAACCTTGCGTATGGCTTTAAGGTGGTTGTAAACCCTTACAGTGACTGGCTTCAGGTAATACACAGAGATGAAACATATGTTTCATCCTACATAGGTTGTACCTGTATATCTGCAGTCCTCTCTTCTCTACATCCGTTCAAAGTGCTGAATTTATAAAGCATATCAGTGTTAAGAAAAAAGGGGGCGAAGAGCTGAAATTACACACTGAAGAGATCAGTGAGGAGAGATGTGAGGCGGTCAATCTGCTAGAGGTCCCTCCCCTGTCACCTTTTTTCTCTTGGTGTCAGGAAAACTTATTAGAGGTAACTTATGCTGATAGCAGAGAAAGGAAGCAGCAGACAGAAATGACACTTAGTGCTCTGGATTGAGACAAGCACACACTATAGAGGGATATGCTTTGCTCATATTTCATGTCTGAGGTTTACAATCACTGTAATGTGTATTGTTAGGGTTTCCATACATTTTAATACTACATTCTCATCAGTGAGGCAAGAATGAAGATAGGCACCTCATAATGGGGCAGCACAGTGGCTAAATGGTTAGCACTTCCGCCTGGCAGTACTAGGGTCGTTGGTTTGAATCCCAACCACGGCACCACCTGGCTGGAGTTTGCATGTTCTCCCTGTGCCTGCGTGGCTTTCCTCCGCGGTACTCCGGTTTCCTTGCACACTCCAAAGACATGCTGGTAGGTGAATTGGATCCTGTCTAAATTGTCCCTAGTATGTGTATGTATGAATGTGAGTTAAGGACCTTAGATTGTACTCCCCTTGAGGGTTAGGGACCTTAGATTGTACGCCCCTTGAGGGTTAGGGACCTTAGATTGTACGCCCCTTGAGGGTTAGGGACCTTAGATTGTACTCCCCTTGAGGGTTAGGGACCTTAGATTGTACCCCTCTTGAGGGTTAGGGACCTTAGATTGTACGCCCCTTGAGGGTTAGGGACCTTAGATTGTACGCCCCTTGAGGGTTAGGGACCTTAGATTGTACGCCCCTTGAGGGTTAGGGATCTTAGATTGTACACCTCTTGAGGGTTAGGGACCTTAGATTGTACTCCCCTTGAGGGTTAGGGACCTTAGATTGTACACCTCTTGAGGGTCAGGGGCCTTAGATTGTACGCCCCTTGAGGGTTAGGGACCTTAGATTGTACCCCCCTTGAGGGTTAGGGACCTTAGATTGTACGCCCCTTGAGGGTTAGGGACCTTAGATTGTACACTCCTTGAGGGTTAGGGACCTTAGACTGTACACCCCTTGAGGGTTAGGGACCTTAGATTGTACACTCCTTGAGGGTTAGGGACCTTAGATTGTACGCCCCTTGAGGGTTAGGGACCTTAGATTGTACACCCCTTGAGGGTTAGGGACCTTAGATTGTACGCCCCTTGAGGTTTAGGGACCTTAGATTGTACGCCCCTTGAGGGTTAGGGACTGATGTGAATGTACAATATATATGTAAAGTGCTGCGTAAATTGACAGCGCTATATAAGTACCTGAAATAAATAAATAATAATGTAAATCTTTAAAACTAACTCAGGATTGACAGCTCCCATAATTCTATTTTGATAGGTTCCCTTTAAACAAAATTTAATTTGTCTATTGCCATACTGTATGCATGAATCAACCATATCTCTTCTCCCTGTTTTTTCCCTGTTTATCTCTGAAAAACTTAATAAAAATATTGAAACATAAACAAAATTTAAAAAATTACAAGTCCTTTTCACAACTCCAGGTCATTGTTGACAGCGCAAAAAGTTCATTTTTAGAAAATCAGTCCTTATCTATTTTCTATGGCATGAAAGCCTAACACAAAACTTAATGGTTCAGTCTATACTTGAGTAAAAAAGTTAAGTAAAATGCTGACAGCCGGGAGATTGTTAGTTAACCCCTTTTATTACGGGATTACGGTGATGTAATGGCATAGCACAGCCCAGCAAAGTGCTAATGGACTTAAACAGAAGCTGTGCTGTGCCTGCAGTTTTTATTAGCAATGGTACACACAACATTCTTCTCTCTCCCTCTTTTTTTTTTTTTTTTTTTACATATAGATCATTGGGTATTTTTCCTCCGCACTCCCCTCATAGCTGAGCGCTCAACAATTAGGCGCTTGTACTGCTAGACTGAGAGAGCCTCAGAGAGCTGGCTTGGCTCAGC